ATCACGCAGGGAAACACCAAGCATAGCTCTCTCCATTGCCCGCTGGGCGACCTTGAGCCGTCCTATGAGACCCATAGTAAACGACCACGCCTCACTGCCATAGGTCATCACTGGCAACACACACTGGTTAAAGACTTTCGTCTTAAGGCATTGAGGTATTTTGGACGCGAAGATGTTCCGCAGCTTCCCGAACGCTGCCCATGCGAGTTGGATTCGACGAGAGATCTCTTTCTCGAAGTTGGACTTACCTAACTGGATTGTGTGTCCTAGGTAAACGTAGTGGTCAACAACTTCAAGTGTAACGTTCCCAACATTAACTGGAGCGGGTGCAACATGGGCGTTGGACATGATTTTAGTCTTGTCCATGTTCATCTTAAGACCCACTCGCTGGGATGCGTCACTGAGATGCTCGAGCATGGTGTTCAGGTCTTCCAAGGTCTCCGCCATTAGGACTACGTCATCGGCAAATCGAAGGTGTGTCAGGTACTCGCCGTTGATGTTAATGCCGAGTCCTTTCCAGTCCAGAAGCTTAAAAATATCCTCCATCGCAGCAGTGAACAGTTTCGGAGATATAACGTCTCCCTGTCTCACCCCTCGCTGTAGTTGGATAGGATTAGAGCTCTGATTCTGTACTCGGACCGACATAGTGGCGTTTTGGTATAGGTACTTTAACACTTCGATATACCTGTAGTCCACTTGGCACCTCTGGAGAGACTGCAGCACCGCCCAGGTCTCGATCGAATCGAAGGCCTTCTCATAGTCCACAAACGCTAAGCAAAGTGGCCGATTATACTCTTCGGTCTTCTATATAATCTGCCGCAGCGTATGGATGTGGTCTATGGTACTAAAGCCTTTTCGGAAACCGGCTTGTTCGGGAGGCTGGAAGTCGTCGAGCCTGCGAGCGAGACGATTCGTAATGACCCTCGAAAACAGCTTGTAGATATGGCTCAGAAGCGAGATGGGTCTGTAGTTCTTCAGTAGGGTCTTATCACCTTTTTTGAAGAACAAAAACACCTCGCTTCTGCTCCATGCCTTCGGCGTTTTGCCCTGGTGGATGACGGAGTTGAAGAGCTTCTGGAGGACTTTAAGTACCGGCGTACCGCCCGCTCTCAGAAGCTCTGTTGTGATTCCGTCATCTCCCGCCGCCTTGTTGTTTTTAAGCTGTTTGAGGGCAATTCTAATCTCGTACAGGCTGACGTCCGGGATATCCTCGGTATAATGTCGGGTAAGCTTGGCTCTAGGATCTCGAGCTCTGCTTTCGCCTGGTGTTCTGCTGGAATATAACTGCCTATAGAAACTCTCAATCTCCCTCAGGATTTCAGGAGTCGATGAAATGATACTACCGTCCTCAGTTTTCAGCCTCGTCAGTTGACTTTGCCCAATAGACAGATCTCTAGCGAACACTTTGGAGCCTTTGTTCCGCTCTATGGCCTCTTTAATACGCTCGGTATTAAAGTGGCGAAGGTCGCTCGTCAACGACTTCGAGATCTGTCTATTAAGCTGTCTATAACGAAATGCATCCGCTGAGTCCTGTAGTCTCATTTCATGTCTCCTATCCATGAGTTCGAGTGTGTATGCGGAGAGTTTCTTTAACTTGGTACGGCGGGTTTTAAAGTGTTTAGACCCTACCGTACGGACAGTATCCACCACCAGGTCGTTCAGATCGTCCACGTCTATGCTGTTCTCAAGGTACTCGAAGCGGTTCTGGAGCTCGAGCTGAAAGCGCTCGGGGTTTTGAATTTGGGCTGGCACCGGTCGGAGCGTTGATTTTATATTTTAATAAAGTCTTAATAAACAAGTATTGACACTGAATCAAGTTAAAAAACAAGTATTGCTCAGCTCATTGCAACCTACGAGGCAGTGCTAGATATCAACAAAATGCACGTGAAATACGCTTTATTCTGAATTTTTTGACATACGTATTATAACATTTTTTTTATTTACCCGCTCAACGCGACGCTACTCATATCGTCCGAACGAGCTCTTAGTAGCTAATGAATAAAGAGAAACAGTTAGTTCTTGTGGCAATTTGAATTATTTTCTATCACAATATTATTGACATAAATTTATTTAAAGGACATAGAACTGACTTGATTATTGATGGCTACGATGGTGGACTCAATTGAGGATTGAAAATAACCTTTATTACGTACAATAAGAGCAGATTTTGTTAGTGATTCAATATTGAATAATCTATCTTTTCCCAACTACGTACGGCCTAATGACAAGGGAGGTAAGTCCTAATGTACCGTACCTTCATGTAAATATATGCAAATTGCGTTACTGAATAAACTACTCTACGTAAGGATAAACGCACCACTGGATAGGTATATTGTGTGTCGGATTGGATCTTATTGTATTAGCTTCTCAATGTTTACCACGATTGCTTTCAATTCGAATCTATATATATATATATATATATATATATATATATATATATATATATATATAGATCGAAATCTTTCTCAGCGCTGGATTATATAAAAAATATTTTTACGCAATGTTACAAACTACGGGATACTTATAATTTTCCTACCTAAACCTAATCTGTGATCAACATAAAACTAAAATTTAAACGCATTAGAAATTGGATTCTGTTATTCAATTCACAAACAAGTGACAGTCTTGTTACCACTCAGCGAGCTGGAAAACGGGTTCGAAACTCCGAAAACTAAATGATTACCTAAATAAAAAATAAGCGATACGCGCTTCATGACTCGTACATAGACATTTTAAGTTAAACTGTAATGAACATCATTATAGTAATAGGTATAAGTTATTTACGGGATTGTTACCATTGAACATCATGCTCTGGATTCCGTGTGTGTCGATAATCTTTATAAACTAAAGGCTCTTTTACTCTAAATGCAGCTTGGTATTTTAACATAGTTGAGAGCTGGCGAACAAAATACTGGTATAATTACATAGAATTAAATTTTACAGGAGCTGTATAAAACTGAATGACATAACTGAGCTTTTGGCATAGTTTTTAATTAAAAAAAAAATTAACTCTGTTTTAGGCGGTTTTGATTGAAATTTATTTGAGAATCAAATTCAGCGGGCCCGAAACCTCCGGACTGTAAAAAAAATTTGTTCGACCAGATGAGTAATTACACCGTTATGTTCGCCGGCTCCTCAGTTTTAACAAGGAAATTAAAAATTTGTATTTCAGACTTAATCAATGTTGAGTAGCCAGGTACACGATGAAACGTTAAGTTCGATATACAAAGAAACCTAATCTGTAATCAACATAAAACGTACGTACTTTGCGAGAGTGACATATTAGACAGCTCCAATAAACGTTTTTATGGCTTTCGTGGGCTAAAGTTAAATATGATAAGGTAATAAATATAATACGCTTCCTCTAGTCCGCTGAGACTGGTATATTGAGACTGTGTAAGTAATGTTAATAACGCCAATACTGCGGATGTTAATTAATATTGTGACGTCAACGGAGCCATTGATCTTGATGATTAATCTAAGAGTTATATAAATTGCTCTAATAAATCCAGTAGGTATCTAACATCTTTTCTAACTCTGTGGCTTGGTAACTTGAATCGAATATGTGTTCCTACTGGAATTAGTTACCAAAAATATATATTTACAAAATAATATAGTCTTTGTGTTTAGTGGACCTAGACACACATTAAAGTTAATCACGTTTCAATATTCGGTGTTTAAAAACAAAAAGTGGTAAATCACACCAATTTCTTGACTGTAGATATATGATTATTTAAAGCTGCCCATTTCGACAACCTCGAAGAAAATAAAGTTTAATTTCATAATTATTGCAATAAACACAACCGAAAGCCTCTACATCAAATAACCAAGAACACTAATTATAACAATTGAAAAAATATTGCCTTATAATAACTCGTTCCAATAATAGATAGATATTATGTATTTTTATATATATTTTAGAGTACATGTCATTTAGTTCTTTGGTCAATTTCAACTGAGATGTGTTGTTTCAACTATTGGATACAATAAAAATACCTACATAATCAATTCACCACATATTTACTCACCCACAAAGTTGGTGAGTAATTAATGTCGTTCACCTTTTCTTAAAACTAATAATGTTCAGCTTAAATGCGAAGATATAATTTACGATCACTATTTACATAGCTTGGATACACTTATAAAATATAATATGTTATTGTTCGACCAGTGAGTCGTCAACCTATTAGTACATATTTTCAATTTAACATACAAAACAATACCTACATGAACACAATTTACACAGCTTTAACAAATATTGGATTTATTAAACACATTTTTTTCCGATTTTTGAGCAAGTTAGTTTGATGCCGGCACTTCACTTGGCGTTTCGTAGTTGGGCATCAGTAAACTTGAAAACAGTCTGTCCTTTTCATACTTTATAAGGAATGAAAAGGACAGACTGATATCAAGTTTACAAATAGCAAACACGAATAGCCAATAGTAGCTTTAGCTTTATGTTTTCATTAATTGGTATTGCGAATCACCGGTCTTCTATTCGATAATACTACATTTTATAAGCTATGTTTCGTTGGGCTCATTCCAGCTAGACGCATAACCTACCCTGTTCTATCAAACTTCAACATTCATTTAACCAACAACAATCTAAATATATATTTATGCCATTAAAAATAATGTTTAATTCACAGTAATACAGAGGATGGATTCGTAGCACGTACAGTGTGTGGTTGACATTCGTATCCACATGGAAATAATAAATCACCGAAACTGTAAGGTTATGTAACCGCCTACATTAAACCCGTGTGAACTAAACCGAACACATTTCACACAACAAAACAAAAGAGTGACGACCGTTAAAACTATTTGTACAATTATCGTAGTATAATAATAATTATAGTTTCGATATCACATCGCGGTCGCGTTACAACTGCGCTATGATGTGCATTGGAATCGAATAGTCTGTGTTTTCTTGTTTGTTCCACAGTTTGACTAGGTGTGTATGCAGTGACGTCACTATACCTCTACTCGGCGTAGATAGGTTACTTGCCCCTGTACTTTTCAGTGGTGGCGTCTTCTAGATTGCTGTCCCAGTCGAACTCCGTGACGCCGGTGCGGGACACCTCGCCTAGGTGCCGCCACCGGTACTCGAAGTCATTGTCACGCTTCTTGAGCGCCTCGAATCTGACACAAAAACGACATGTATCAATATGATTGGCGCCGCGACGGGGCAATCTAAGTGCGTGGGCCCAAATTGGCGTCATTATCCCTTATCCTTTAACATAGAACTGGTTCTACTTCAATTACGCTCCGATTTAATTTTCTAAGACATGTATCTCTGTAGGTGGTTATTATCTGTCTTTATCGAACGATAACCATCCGGTAATTAAGCGGAGATATGAGGTAATTCTCTCACAACGCTGGGCCACCTGACAAGATGTTTAATCTCTAAATGAGGTTTGCATTGTGATTAAAGTGGTTAAATACAAATACAATTTGGTTCCAACTGTGTTCAAACTACTAGCTAGATAGTCACGAAGTCGGAAGGGGAACATTTACGAGTATGATTGTATGTCGAGAGAAATGTCTTAGATTTCAATGTAAACTAAGCTCCCGGGGATATACGAGATCAGTTTATTCGAGTAAACGTCTACAAGGAAAAAAGCGTTCGTTCTTTTGATACGCCAGTGAAAGAGGAATACAGATTAGCCGCACATTGTGGTAAATGCTACACTCGAACAATCCCATTAGATGGTGATTAATCATCTTTGACAGGCAATTTGGCTTCGATGTTTCAGGCAGCGTATTTATTGAGGCTTTCATAAGCTATTTGTCAACCGTAACCTGGTAATTGGGTTGAAATGATTTAGGTTCGTGATAGTGGAGAGTGTGGCCCTGGTATTGCATAGTTCGGGTCACATAGCCATTTTGATTTGCTTAGCCTAATTGGATTGTTTAATCTACCGGCGGCACTGAAAAAACTCTAACTTTTGAATTTGTCTCAAGTTGGGGATGCCACTTTCTTTGCGTTAACAATAGAATGAAGCAAAGCGTGAGTAAATGAAGTACTTTGTTTATAAAACATGAAATTCTTTTTCCTAATTACGAGTCTAAGTGCCTCTTATTTATCGGAGACAGTTCAACAACGCATTAACACGTATTTTTAGAACGCTTACTATCTTACTTTAACGTTCAAGTATTCAGAAACAAGATAATATTTTCTCTCGAGGAAATACGCATATAAAGCACAGGAGATTGAAGCTTAAATTGAAGCATCACTTAACAAAGTATCTCAACCTTATACCTAGAACACGGGCTATTGTAAACCTTAATATTATGAACGTGGAGTACATAATCAAGAGATCAACTTGTAAGTAAATAGGGTCAGGGCTCAGGGCTGAATGTGTTAATCTAGCCTTCTCAAGCGTCCATCAACCGACGGCCAAATTTCTTACGTATCAGAAACTTTAAAAACATGTAAAAACTTTATGTGAAGAAAAAGTATATAAGGTAATTATGAAACACGCTCTTCCAACTTCATTAAATATTATAAGCCCTAAATGGTAAAAGGCACTAACTTAAACAAACGTAGATTACATTTCCTTTTAGTTATATTTTCTTTAGATTTTAACATCAAGCTGTTACATGCTTAAAAATATAAAATTATAAATACGTAGATTATTTAGCAAATTATATAGCTATTAATAATATTAAGACTTAAAAATTTATGCGGCAGATATTGTTCTTACTAGACTCCCCTAGGTCCCTTCATCCTTGCTAGGCTAACTTGTGAACATCCTATGCAGTTAACTGTAACATAATGCCTTTGCATCAATCGGCGTTAGCAACACGCGCGGGCGCCATGTGAGCTTTCCACAGATCGAGCATGTCGAGGCGTGTCGGCGTTGAGTGTGAACGCCACAGAACACAGAAAGACGTTAGAAGGGCCTAGTTCCCACAAGGCCGGGGTAGGCACGCCACAGTTATGTGTGAGCAAATGCTCATAACTTGGTTCTGATTGCGTCGTTGCTCTCGGGTGTGAGCGCTGATTGGGTCGATTGTTAGATGTCGCGTCGTTTGATTGGCTATATAAAGTGGAAGCGTAGTGAGGGCGAGCCGGCGACATCGGTTACCGTACAAAAGATCTTTAAGCACACTTCTAAACTCTTTTTGTGTTCTGTGGTGAACGCCGTCATATGATTCCATGAGCATCGAAACACGGCGAGAGACGCAGGCGCACGCAACGCAACCTGAATGCATCTCTCTGTCTGAAGTAGGTCTAATGATTTTACAGTCACGAAAGTCTCTTCGTCATCGTCTTGATTACATTTGTAAGTATTTGTAAGGAACGTTGCTAAAATTTACGCAAAAATGGGCGGATCGCAATTTTTAAGCCATCATCAAAAGCAATGTTACCATCGCGAAAATAAATGAAAATAGTTCGAAAATGCCGTCGTGAAAGCTTATACTACTTTCGTAAATGTAAAATCGATTCAAGTAATTTGATCAGACGCTGTTTCAAACTATTTTTATCAAAAAAGAAATCGGAAATTCATATTTCTTCATGCCAATGGGCAACTCATTTTAATCAACTTTTCCCACACATATTCATGCCAATTTGGTCAAACTCTTTAAACTAGCTTGTTTGATCAAATAACTTAAATATCTATGGCGGCTATTAGACTAGGGAATTGAGCTTGAGTTGCTTGATGCACTCCACCTGTGCCGAGGACAACGCCGCGAGCGTCGCGTTGGACTGCTTGAACCTCAAGAGTAATCCTTAATAAAATTACCATCTCACCTTTTGAACATGAGGTTCTTAGCGAACTCGTACAGCTCAAGGTCTAGCGAGTTGAGCCGCTTGATGCGCGCCACCTGCGCCGGCGATAACGCTGCGAGCGTCGCGCCTGATACGGTGGCGTTGTGCTGCGTGAATGGCACCGCGAAACGAAGGTTGAAGGTCTCCTCGAACACGTATTGTGATATCTGCACAAGGCAACAAAGGTTTATAGAATCATATAATCCAACACTTTAGGGGCTGAAAATGTTCATTGCAAAATCTGTCATTAATACTATCATATGTTTTGACTATTAGGCAGCTGTTTATTATTAATGCTATTCTGTACACACATCTTTGCCTCCCATATGACCCCGAAACTGCCAGAAGTAAGCGTGGATGTGGTAGATTTTGCAAAATTAGTAAATGCAGGCTAACATTGTCTCGTCGCCACCTTTCAAACATTGCACCTATGTTATATAACAGGGCCAGCAAAATCATTGACATATATCCACTTACCCTTAATAAGTGTAAGATGGTTGCTTGGCAGTGGTAACATTCCCTTTCATATGATGAAACGGAGAGCTTACTCAAAGTCATCAAATAATACACGGATATACATGTGAAATGACATGCAACTTCATTTTAGTACAATCGTACACTCTCACTCTTATAAACATACACGCATGCACATACAGACACACACGCTAATACAGACCCACACACCCACACTCATATATAGAAATACACACTCATATATACAAACACACCCATACATACTTTTTATTTTGTAAGTAAATGGTAAGATAAGGACTGTAATTTTTATTTATTTATATGTATTATGGAACACACGTCTCTGTATCTGGAGGTGGGCGCTAATAGCTGTAACACAGTTCTAGAAACTAATATAGCTATTAACGAACCTTAATTATACATGTAACTTAAATTAGTTCCAATAAATATATTTTTCATTTTTCATATTGGTTGGGATTGAGGAGCTTGATGGCGCAAGAGGTTTAAGCGTTCGACTGTGATCGTATAAGTTAAGTAACTTTCGCAGTGGTCGGTCATTGCATGTGGCCAAAATCACTATCCCAAGTTCCTCCGTGCTTCGGAAGCCGTTGGTCCCGTTTGCATCTGCAGTTATTAGCACCCACCAATCTGCATTGAACCGTGTGGTGGGAATAGGGAAGGCCTTGCAGTAGGGACATTAATAGGCTTATGATGAATGGTCTGCACAATCCTGGATTTTTCACCTTTTTATCTGGGACTTCTCCGATCAGAAAGTCATTGGTCCCGGCAGCATCTGCAGTTATAATCTCTTTTTCTCATAGAGGAAATCTGAGCATAGCAAGGGGGCATTAATAAGCTGGTGATGAAGATGGAAAATATAATTGTGTCTATGTACATAAACACTCGTTTTTTTTTGCAGAGCATCTAAGGAGCAGTACACATTGTCTAAACTTTAATTGGAATTTATAATACACCTATTTGAAAATCCAATATATCTCTAAGATGCTTCAAGAAAAACCGGATTTTCAGTGATTTTAACAGCACCAGCACTCGCATAACAAATTCTATCGAAACCGGTCGATTCAAATATAATAACATTTGCAGAAGAAAATAAAGTATTGAACATAGAACTCATATTTACTTTTATTGAATATAAACTGAACAATGCAAACTTGATCAAGAGCTCATTGAGCTAATATTGAAAATAGGGCGAAATATTCAAAAGCAAAATACAATATTAACATTTGAATGAACGCGAGTGCGGAGTAAGTAAACATATTCATTTTGCAATCGATTGCGCCCGAGAATAAATTCCAAGCAGAATTCAAAAGTTTCACAAGAGCTCTACCTAGTCGAAGCACTATCGTGCACATTTCAACTTTTCACCTAGACATCGCGGCGGTAAAAAGGATATTCTTGAAACTTTCCGTCGAAGGATTTATGTGACGCTCTTATTATAAGAAAGTTCTGCCCGATCTAAATCCGAGTTAAGTCAGCCGGAATCCAACTGTCCTATATATTACAGCAAGCACCCGCTCAACAATAAAGCTTAATAAATTAAAGCTCTTCTTCACCCCGATCGGTGGACAAACATTAAAAACAAATGGTGGAGGAACGAGTCATGAATATTCATAGTCAAGAAAACTGCGGGTTGTGAGTCTGACCGACTACAAATGGTGTAAAAGATATTATTACGACATTCAAGTGCGAATAATGGTAGTACTTATCTAAAGGTCACACGAGTGGAAGATCCTAGGATCGATCCCCATCCTTTGAAGGTGAGTTATACCTGTTCAATTTATTTAAACAATGACCAAATATCTGGCAACTACTATCATTATAAAGAGTTTCATTAAGTATATTTATTCATTCATGTTTATGTAGATTAGTTGTTGTTGAATTTATATTTTTCGTTTGTCCCACTACTTGTTCAGTTATGAATCAGTGACATGTGACAAACCAAAGGAGGTCCTAATCGTTGATCCGAAGAGTGTATTGTACTGTTTATTACGTAAGTACGCTCTTGATTCAACAAAGATGTCATTAGCGTGGGTTATATAATAAACTCTTTCTCCTGTTCTCACCGTCATGATAATTCTTGAAATGATAACATACTCAATTGATGACATAATCATACGACCACCAATAAACATTACTATCGTATAAAGGATGTAAACACTACATCTTAATGATATTGACTACACCAAAAGTTTTCTACTAAATGGCCATTCATTGCGCTTCATATTATTGAATGTCAATCAATGAATGCAAGCAGATCATAAATTAGATTTGGTAAAATTTACTCGTACATACAATTTTTATTTTGTTATATCGTGAAAAAAATTGGATAAGTTTTACACTTAACAAAAAAGAACTTTCTAGGGCTTGAATTCAAGGCAATCAATCACTTTTTATCTTGCGACCTACAAATACAAGAAAACTGCGGGCACAGATTCTGACCCGTGACAAATGGCAACGAAGATACAGCGACCCTATTCAGTGGGAATAATTGCTGCCATATCTTAACCGATCAAACAAATAGATAACGTTAAATAAACCTGGGCGCCATGTTCATAAAAACACAAGGAATCTCAAAGGCATTGGACAATTTATAATCTTCTGCCGTTAAGAAAAACAAAAGAAATACTGACAATATACGAAATCTCGACGAAAATGTATGTAATCTGTTAAAGAATATCTAATGAATAGGTATATAGAATACCGAAAGAGTCAAGTTTTTACATTTACATTCCCTAGAATTTTAAGGCATTCTAAAACAGTGTGCTGAAATTATAGGTTTGTAACGCTTCGTTTCGGTGGCGTTTCACATTTCCATTATGGAACTTCAACGTGTAGGTATATTTTTATTTTCCAATAATAATCGTATCGCCGACTTCTGATCGGGTCGTCTTCCGTGTTATAAAAACAAACTTTATGAGTATGAATACTTATACTCATAAAGTTGTTTTTGTGATGTTAACTCAACAAATTACCGAACCCCACCAGATGTTAAGTTTACTAAGCCCAGTTGCAATGCTTGCTGATGCGACAAATGTGTCGTTCCAGCATTCTTTCCTTTGCCAGCCTGAACGCAATCCATAGAGGACTAATAACTCAACAACAGATAAGGAATACCACCAAAAGGTAGTGTTTTTGGTGGTCCAATTCCAACAAATTTAAGCACTACTCTCCATCTTAAAATAATTTATTCAAATTTACCTAGTCAGGTCATAAATTCTGTCACATGTTTAATATAAAATAATTGAAACAAGTTTATTTATTATGTAACCGTTTATATACCAAAATGAACTTAACAAAACATAGATTCTTATGACAATAAAGTTTATTCAAAATGACCTCCGTGATTTTGTATACAGGCCTTCAATCTGCGCAGCCAGTCGTTTATCGCAGCACGAACGAGGTCCATGTCAATATCAGCGGCTGCCTTAATCAAGGATGTCTTGAGTGACTCCAAATTGCGGCTTTGAGCCTTTTCCTCCAAGTGTTGCCATATCTTACAAGATATTACAATCTAACGGACTCAAATCTGGACTGGAGGAGGGCCAGTCTTCGTGACGGATGAAGTCGATTTCTCTCAGATTTTCTCAGTCTTGTGTGCTCTTCGCTCTATGAGCTGGCGCCGAATCTTGTTGGAATACCCAGTGCCTGTTATTGAACTGGTATGAGAAACAGGTTCCACAAGGTTCGTCAGGACTGTATTTTGATATACAACTGCAGTCGTTTTTACACCTTTCTCACAAAAATATACCTCTGTTAAGCCCCAATAAGAAACTCCCAACCATAACATGAGCGAGGATGGAAAATGACCTCGTTGGACACGCGGAATACGGTTGCTCGCTTCTTCACTACTGTGTGCGCACCGTAAACCTTATCATTTTCTTTGTTGTAGTTCTCTTCTACGGTAAAAATTTTTTCGTCCGAAAAAATAATTTCCCTATATTTTTTTCCCGCATACTGCTTCAACAAAGCGCAGCATCTCTTCAGTCTCAGGACCATTAGACGAGCATTCAAACGATGTCCTGTTTTTCTTCGATATGCCCGAAGCCTTAAGTCTTCATTTAACACCCTTTTCACCGTGGTTCTGCTTAACCCCATCTGAAGGGCCAACAGTTCCTGATTACGTTTGGGATTTCTTTGAATTCGCGCCTTCACAGCTTTTATCACTGCTGAAGTCCTAACAAACCGAGGGCGACCACTTCATGACCTGTCATCTACACTAGAGTCTTCATTGTATCGTATGATGGTACGATAAACGAATCTTTTGGTTATATTAAAATTTGGTATGTCAAAAATTTTAATTGGCGCGTAACCGCAACGATGCAACGCAATAACTGCAACACGATCTTCTTTAAGCGTCCACTCCATATTTAAAAATTGAGTAAAATTCTAAAAAGTATACATTTTAATTTTCATGAACAATTCGAAATTCGAATTCAATAAACTTTTTTGTGGCCAGCATTCTAAAAGAAAAGTTTTTACTGTGTGACAATACTTATGACCTGACTGTGCATAATCATTTATTCAGTCTAGGTTGTTACAAGCACTTGTGAATGTCGAAAGACAAAGTCATCGATTCGCAAATCTGCAGCGGAAGCGTGTACTCACCTCAACCTAGAAACTCAGCAGCAAAGGTTGTATCCTGTATTATTATTTTATATTGTATACTGTGTATATTGTGTCAAGTTGCCAAATAACTTCAGTGATAATTCGTGAAGTCACCTTCCATTATATAATTTGGATTATTCAATAAATAAAAAAGTGAGCTACATTTTAAGTATAGGAAGCGGCTACATATACTACATTATTGTTATGAAAAATTACTAACACCCATTACATTACAAATAACAAAAAAGCTGTAATGTTCATGCAAAAAGATCATAAAGATCATCATCCACTTTATAAATGACCTTTATAATGTCTCTCTTATGTTATAATTAAGCGAAAATAGAAAAAAAACGTATCCAATATTTTTTTGATAATCTACCTGGTGAAAGAAGAAAGAAAAGTTAGTCGTCATCCCTTTTCTTTTCTCGGTACTATTTATTTTTTCTTTCAGTTCAAAGAAAAATTTTGTATTTCTTATAATAATATTTAATATTATTTACTTACGACGATCCGGATTACGATTTCCATTGGGTTCATCAATAAATTTACCTTTTCATTTAGTAAAAATATATTCGTTTTAAATTTACGAATCTCGGAAACATGTTACTTAAGTAGATTATGAACCCACTTTAACAGAGAACTAACTCAAACCGACTTGTCTTATGAATTATGCTGTCTCCCAAAACTTTTTCATGTTTTGTTTTGTTTAAGGGTATTAATTACTTCATTAATACATATTCCTTAAGATTCTTTACTGATCAGAATGATCAAGTTATTTAATAATAAAGATCTCATTTCATTTAAAAACGATATCGTGTTGTTAATCGGAAAACCAACTAAGTGCCAATTTTTGCAAAATTGAGTTAAAATACACATTTTACTCAAAAAAAGCGATCTTTCTAGTGGTAAAACTCTCTTAATTCGATAATGCATAGGTAAAAAGATAGTGAAAACATTATTCTCATTTTTTTATGTCATATCCAATCGATCCGAACCAATATCGAATTCGAATAGTTTGCGAATGCGAAATGTCATTGTCAAATGTGTACTGACTTTTAGTTCTCGTTCTGTCGTTTCCGCTGCTGGTCAAGTTTCCATACAAAATTTGACAATGTCATTTTAGACTCGCAAACTTTTCGATATCGGTTCGTGCTAGGGGTATATGACTTAATTACTTTTCACTTTAGTAAATATTGAATGAGCAGAACTAAATATATAATAAGGAAAAGCGCCTCTTTCTCACCCACTTAGCGGATGCTTCTACAGCCTGGATGTTGGAAGATTCAAGGCACCGTGCCTGGATTAAGGAAGTTTTCCCCACCGCCTTTCTGTTTAATCTGGCAACTGCCCATCTTGGAAAACTCACATCTCCCGGCACGGTATGTGGATTGTTTGATAAATCAGGCGTAGGTGAGACCCTGATTAGAATGCACCAATGATCTGACTGGTTCCGTTCTTCTCCACAACTCTCCAGCGCTGTATACGCATCGCGATCGCAGGTGCCTTACACAGGTTTATGCGTGCCCCTATTTGTAATTTCAAGCCAAAACATAGTCGCCTATTCATAAACTGCTTCCCTCTCTTGACTGTCGTTCTTGTGGAACCGTAAGCCATATGTTTGCCATTGAAGTCACCGAAAACGTTATTATGTAGTAATTATTTCAGTTAAACATCTGAATTACTCGTAATATATATTCGAGTAAAACCAACTAAAATTTGGGTTTTCTTTTTAATATTTGTTTTGTGCTGCTTTTATAGATGTAACAAAACATAAACAGATAATAATATTATAATGAGCCAACATAAAGAACAGCTAATACTTCACTGAAACTTTATTTTATAAAATATTTACATTTTAGTGTTATACAGGGAAAAACAACTAAATGCCTCCAACTAGTTGTTTTTACATCACGCAATAAAATTGTAAATTTAGGAATACATAAATTACTGAACTTATAAGACAAATATTTGTTTTATAGAATAATGTTTAACGCAAGTTACAAATGCGATATTTAACAAGAGATTTTCTTTTCCAAACCTTTGAAATGAAATATCTCATATCTCTAATTTGAACATTTAGTTGGTTTTGCCATTAACACGACGATCTTATTACATTTTCTTATTCACCAAATAGATTATGTTATCCAAGAAGGATACATTTTCATTCGAATATTGTCCATTCAATATTATTACCAACCAATCATCAAGTGAACAGCTAATAAGGATAAAAGTATTGAGTTACAGTGTTCGCCAAATATCTGCTTCGGATGGCCGACGGCGACGACTAGAGATTATATTAAAACAGAGTGATTATTTCCTCTGAATTAAACCACATAAAAATAAAGAAACGCTTTTCTAACCCCATATTTACCTATTTTAACTACTGTTCGTTTGTAGTAATTGAAGTAGCTCATGAATTGATTATTATCAGTGTGCTCAGACGAGACAATCAGACGTGGCTTCC